TCTGGTCACCACACGCAGTCTGCTGCTTGGTCGTTTGGTCGCCCCTCATTGTCCGCCCCCCCGCCCCCCTCCAGCCGGCCTGGTTGCTCCATGCAGCCTGCTGCCCAGTCGTTTGGTCGTCCCTCACTAACCCCCCTGCCTAGACCCCTGCCGGCCTGGTTGCCCCACGCAACCTGTTCGGTCATCCGTTTGGTTGTTTTGGTTGCAACAGTCACTTAGGAAAATAGTATATAGTACTATTTTCCATACAAGCAACTGTAAACATACTTTTGCCCTACCCTATATGTTTGCTTATTTATGCATATTTGAACCACAATATGTAATGAAAAAACATACGCCTTGGAATTAGAGCTGGGTTGGGACCTCAGTTCTAACATTAATTTCGGAAAAGCTCAGAAACACTTCTGAGTTCCAGTTCTGTTCTCTGTAAAATCTGGATAACAATCCTAAACTCAGAGGTGTAAGAATTAAATGAGAAGATACAAGTACAGAGCCTATGGTCTGTAGAACAAATCCTTAAATTGTAGTTTCATAGAAGACAGAGGGGAGAATAATGCATACCTGAATGATGAAGGGTGTAAGTTTCTTCTTGTTGATTGCTCTTTCATCAATTGTATCAGGAACTGAAAGGTTGATCATTTTACTGAAACACAATTCAAAAATGAATTGACTTATTTTTTCTTTCTTTTATTGAATGTATTGGAGTGACACTGGTTAATAAAATAATATAGGTTTCAAGTGTACAATTCTATGATACAGAGTTGATTTATTTTAAAGAGTTTGTAAATATCCAGAAATATTTTAGGCTTATCTGTAATGCTATCAACAATAAAAAGTATATTTTTTAAAAAGAAATATTTAAAGCTTATTATAGCTCTCATCTAATCTGAAAAAAATAAATGCAATGTATGACTTTAAAAAATATATGACTTTTATCATGTTTATCATAAAAAAACTACAAACAATGCAAATTAAAAAAAGACCAAAATGTTTACATTAATTGGGTTCTTCTGAGTTGGGGACTGGGGCCTATTTTCTCATTTTATTTTATTTTTGTATTTTCCACATTCTTTTATAAAAATGAGTAACTTGAATATTGAAAAAACCTTTATTGAATAAATGTTAAAAACTGATAAAATCCCACATAGAAATTGAGTCTCTTCTAAATTATATAATTCACAATTAAAATGCCATTTATTCACAAAGAGGTAAAATTAGGTGAGCATGAAAATCTTTCATTCACCAAATAATTATTGAGTGCTTAAATGATGAGCTCAGCACATTGTATTTGATGCATGTAATAGAGTGGTGAGAGAAAGAAAGGTTGTGTTAATTAGGCTAGAATCTGTAACTTATTAGGAAGAATCTCATTTGGTAAAATTTGGAGTTAGACTCTAAAACTTTAGATGTTTATAATATTGCCCTAAAACATGTTTTTCTGCACAAGAAAACTGATGCTACTTTCCATGCAAAATTTAAATATTGACTAAATAGTACCATATTATTTCTCTCTATTAAAACACATGGGGAGCTATTTCTTTAGTATCCATAAGTGACAAAATAGGGGATATCTTACATTTTATTTACTTTTTAAAATCCTCCTCCAAGGACATTTTTTCCATTGATTTTCAGAGAGAGTGGAAAAGAGGGTGGGGGAGAGAGAGAGAGAGAGAGAGAGAGAGAGAAGAAAGAGAAGAGCTTCCATGTGAGAGACACACATTGTGAGAGAGACACATTAATTGGTTGCCTCTGGCTCACTGCCAGATTGGGGGCTGGGGATTGCACCTGCAACCCAGGTACTATGCCCTTGACTGGGAATTGAACCTGAGACCTTTATTACAAAAAGGAATTTTATTACTGTATACTATCATAGAAAATATATCTACTGTTAAGCACTCTATATGTAAGTAGTCATTTACTTAATGCTCACAACAGCCCTGTGAGGAAAGTATAATATAGAAATCATAACAGATGGAAAGTGAAATGCAAATGGGCTGGAATCTTGATTACAGTTACATAGCTACTGAATGGCAGAGACTGAGTATGAACCCAGGCAGGCTGATTATAGGGTATGCTTTTAACTCCCGTGCTACACAGCCTTTATAAATAGGCGCATCAACTGACAAAGTGTTGATAATCTTATGTCATTTCTGCCAAGATACTGTTGGCTCTGGGGTAGCAGCAGTGAGAAATGAATTTTTCAAAAATAATTGGAGAGTGAGAATTGAAGTGTAGCTTTTTATTTGTTAAATTTTCTTGATTTCAGAGAGAAAGGGAGAGGGAAAGACAGAAACATCCATGGTCAGAGAGAACCATGGATCGGTTGCCTCCTGCAAGCCCCCCACTGGGGATCTAGCCGC